AAGACACAAGAGTGGGCCCTTAGTCCCCTTTTTTGGTGGTTTTAGGGCTTTAGGGCTTTAGGTTCTCTTATAAAAGCCCCTTTAAAGCCCCCCAAAAAGGGCACCCATTTATTATTCCTAGGTTACTCTTGGGTCTAGGCTCCCAGAGCCTCCCGGTGAGTGGCGTGAGCTCGGGGCACCTGAGCATGGGCCGTACCAAGCGTCCTGTTTGGGAGCTTCGCGTCCTGCGCAAGGAGGGTTTAGGGTTTAGGGTTTGGGGTTTAGGGTTTAGGGTTTAGGGTTTGGGGTTTAGGGAACCTTAAACCACCAGCCACAGGAGGGAGATCGGATCAGCTTGCTCTTTTTGCAGGGCCGGCTCTTTTTTGGCTCGGCTGAGCAAGTCTCGCAAGTTCTGGATACGGCCACGGACGATGCCGCTGGGCGCTTGAAGTACTGCGTGCTGAGCTTCTCGCGCGTCATCGACATCGATGCGTCGGCAGCCAAACAAGTGAAGACCTCAGTTCCTTGGAGCCGTTGAGCACCCTGAACCTACACCTTGCGGTAAACCCTGAACCCGAAGCCCCAACCAAAACATATTTACTAGAGGTCCCATGTAGTGCGCCCACTGTGGCCCTGTGGAATCCTCCAATCCATGTTGAAGGCGTCCAGAGATCGCGGTCTATGGTTCATAGGGTTTAATTCAGGGTCTTAAAGTTTTTGCAGGGTTGACAGGTTTTTTTTGGGACCCTAAACCCTAAACCCTAAACCCTGAACCCTGAACCCTGAACCCTGAACCCTAAACCCTAGACCCTAAACAGACATCCCGAGCCCGTGGATCAGGTGGACAAAGCCTTCCGGAGCGGGGTGTTGGTCTTCTTCTGCCACATGTCCCCGGACGCTGGGTTTCTAGGGTTCAGGGTTTAGGGTTTAGGTTTAGGTTTAGGTTGCTGTTCGCTTCCACTATAGACTCACTAGACCACCATAGCCATAACCGCACCATCGACTATGTAGCCAGATTAAGCTGTGATATATATATATATATATATATATACATCGTGTATAAATACATACACATGTAGATTTTTGGGTTTATATGTAGGCACACACTTTTAGTTTTTGAAGTTGTTGTATATTTGTGTTTATATGCGTTTCATACTTGTCCATTTATGATACTCTGTATGATCACCTCGAACCCTAAACTCCTAAACCCTAAGCCCTAAACCCTAAACCCTAAACCCCTAAACCCCTAAACCCCTAAACCCTAAACCCTAAACCCTAAACCCAGGACGTCTTCCAGGAGCTCTCCGTGGCCGGCGCCATCAAGTCCCCGGATCCTGCTCTGCTCCAGGCTGGGCGCCGGGAGCTTTTGTAGGTGTTTTAGGATTTTAATTTTCCAAGGGTTTAGGGTTTAGGGTTTAGGGTGTAGGGTGTAGGGTTTAGGCTTTAACGGGCTCAGGACTTCAGCTAGCCCAGACCCTGAATCCTCAACCCATAGACCCCTAAACCCTAGACCCCTAAACCCCAAAGCCCTAAACCCTGAACCCGAAACCCTAAAACCTAAAACCCTAAAACCCTAAAACCGAGCGTTCAGAGACCAGGGTACGGGTTGGCGTCGAGTCCGGGCTGAGGGTGTCGTCTTGTGCCCCGTAAAATCGTAGGGTCCAAAAGAGCTGAGAGAGCCCCAATGTCATACACTTGCCGGGTTAGGGTTTAGGGTTTAGGGTTTAGGGTTTAGGGTTTAGGGTTTAGGGTTTAGGGTTTAGGGCTTAGGGCTTAGGGCTTAGGGTTTAGGGTTTAGGGTTTAGGGTACGGGGGCAACCGAAAGGGAACAGAGAAAGAAACCAACCCCCAACAGTCGCCTATATGGATTTCCCAGATCGAACCAGAAACAAGAACACCCACCCCTAAGGGGACAGGATAAGGGAGAAGGGACGGGACTACTCCAACCCGTTAAACCCAACCCCAGGCGTACGTACCTTTTCAACAAAAGCTGACGGCTCTTGGCCATCTTGAGCCATAAAGGATTTCCGGGTACGTTGACCCTTTCAACTCCCAATACTAACTCCTTTCTACAATACCAGTTGCAGCTCCGCACTCCCCCTGTCCTAGGATTTCCTAGGACACATTGGAGGTGCAGATCTTTTGGCCAAAAACTGCCATTAAGGCAGCAGCCAGCTGCTTGAAATGCACAATATGGTTTTACGTCATCCAGGACGAAATTATAGCACATTGGCTAAACCCACTAACCACAGAGAATCTTTTTTCCACCATGATCCTCTTTATCATTGAAGACTCTTCGGCCTTCTTCACCACAAACCGTGGTCTTCGCTACGCGAAAAACTACTGACTTCTACTATCAGGGATTTCCATACCCTTAATAGTAACCACCACATTGTCAGCACATTGGCTGTTCCAGCGCACCTGTCTCCAGAAAGAGAAAAACCATCCCTTCATCCATACCATCCAATCACTTCTTTTTCCGATTGTTGGCAATTCTGAGGTGAAGTTGCAGCAGAATATACTCCAGGTCCGAAACTGTAAGAACAGGATCCTGCACGCACCTTTGAATTGAGGATACCAATCCTTCTCTCTTTGCGTCCTCAATCGCTTGGCAAGATTGACCCAGCTCTGCATTCACAGTGGTAGACGCTGGTGCATCCACATCAGATGGACGATCCTTTTCCTCAGGACCTTGCACCATTACCACCTCTTCCTTTTTGGGACTCTGACTTTTCTCCTTCTTCTTCGTCTTTCCACCGACATTTGACTTTGTGCGCATTTTCGAGGCTTTTTCCCCTGCAGAAACCACCGCATTGGATGATGAACCCCTCTCAATGTTCGCCGGCATCTTCTTCGGCTTTAGAAGAGTGTAAGGATCTTCGATAGCTGCAGCTTTCCTCTTCTTTTTGACCTTTTTCATCTCCTCCTCAACGGCAACCTCCGTCTCCGAAGTCTCAACCACCTCCTTTTCGGCAGGAATATCCTTGCTGGACTCCCTTTCTAGGGACCTCTTTTTTCCCCTTTTGGGATCTTTCTCTTCTCCCACGTTGGCACGCTCGAACCATATCCTCAGGTCATTGACCCATTCTTCCACCTCCGCGAGCGAAACATCATACGACTTCACTACTTCGTGAAGGTCCAGCACGGACAGCATACCAGTGGTCCACGAAACCCATTCTCTATCCATCTGGTCAGTATCTCCATTGAACTTCAGGAGTTTGAACAATGGGTCCGCCTCTGCTCGAGCCAAATCTGGCTTGCCATTGGACAGAAATGAAATCGCCTCCATCAACAGTTCCGTCATTTTGGTATCATCGTCATAAACCATAAAATCCTCCTCACCATCATCGAACTGTTCAGGAGAGATCTCCTTTTCTCCACCTTTTGCACCAGAACTTCTCCTTGGACCATCCCTTGGGGGCGTCCTTGGAGACCTTGGCCTCTGTTCTTCCAGCGGATCACCATGCTCGAAGACACACCTGTCACCATAACGACACTTCCCAGACTGAGCAAACTGGATGCACCTCACACCAGTTGCATCATGCGAGAACGTACACTCCTTTCCAGCGAAACAGTCTCTCCCTGCCACATAGTATTTGCACCAATACGAATGCAGCACCACATCATCTTCTGAATGGATGAATTTGCAGTTTTCACCAAATTTGCAGCGATCTTTTCCCTTGCTGAACCAATAGCAGAAGCCTTTCTTCCTCTTCTCCAAGCGCTCTGCCTCGTACCGGTCCATAGGGCGATTCTGCTCTACATGAACATTGCCATGTACCTGAGAACTGCTCCCTTCACCCAAGGTGCTATCAGTATTTGATGCTTGGAGTACAGCTGGAAAACCTGGCCTTGGTCCTACCACCTTCATGATTGGTTTTCCGCCAGCTCCTGAGCCATGCTGAGACGATCCAAAAACATCATTTTCATGAAGGCCTTTCTAGCGCCGGTCTTCTGCACCCTTTGATTGGACGTTTCATTGCTCCAACCTTGCATCCAGATGCGTTCAAACGACACAACCTCCTATACCCAGCTCTATATCCCTTCTTCCAAAGAGCCATAAGAATTTTAGAGGCAGTAACATTCTCCACCTCTACCTTTTCCAACGGTCCCTCACTTCCCGGAACAAACCCATCCAACCCATCCATATCTGAAGACCTTTCCATCTTTTTTGACACCACTTCGTCGAGGTAGTCTTCCGAGATCCAGGGTAAGTTCCTCTTAGAGGAAGGATTGTCACCATTGTTTGGTCCTTCACCAGGATACCCTTTTGTGCTGTCAAAGATCTTACCAGTAGTGCGGTCCTGCGTAGAGAAATTGGAAGCAACGCGGGAGTACACTGACCACAAGAAAATCCTTGTGTCCGCCAGTCTTGATGACCCACTGGATGTCTCCTCTTCCGGAGAAACTTCTGGCGCTTTGCCATCCCTTCCAGTGTCACCAATTGTCTCACCTCCAGCATCTTCAATGGGGATAAGGGATTCATTGTTCCCTTGATCAAGTACCGCATCCTCCGGTCCCAGAACTTCCAGCACCGCTGTCGAAGGATCCACTTCTTCATCAGCATCATCGTCCATCCTTTTCCAGAGAACCTCCAATTGATCAGCACATGTCGCCGCCTGAAGGAACTCCATCAACTGGGCCCTCCCGCGCTGCCAGAGAAACTCCAAGAACATCACTGACCCTTGAGCTCCTAGGGTAAGGAAAGGATGAACCAATTTGGCTACCCTCGCCATAAGTTCAATGTGAACTTCCATGCCTGGACTGCGACTCCAATCATAGGCAATTGCCTCCATAGCAGTTCCAAACTTATCAGTATTTTTGAATTCCCCTTCCAGACCAGGAGATAGCAATGCACCCATCACCGAAAGAGGATAATTTCCCACCGCCGGCAAGCACGGATTGTCATGGAACGAATGATGCAAATCACCATAGTATCCTTGATCTCTCCTTTGAAAAAGGAGTGCTCCAGTCCCTAGCTGGGCATTCATTTCATCCACTTGAACCATTTCAGCACATATCCTCTGTGCCACAGCCGCTATTGCTGGCCAGATGGTACGATCGGTCAAACCGCGACGCATAACCCAATCAGTTGTTGGCGACTGAATCAGCGTTCCTGGATCATACACCATAACCACCATCGCACCATCACCCATTGACTGATCAGCATCGTCCTCCAGTGCCAGGTTCTCATCCTGTTCGCTTGCACCCTCGGATGACATGCTAATAACCAAATTTCGATCCATCTTATTGGACCCCTTCTGGCAGTCTCTTTGCCCCACAGGCACTTGCCAACAGCAACCTTCCAATAAATCCGAGTCAGAAGGCCTTTAACCAGCAATTGCTGAAGGTCATCCTTCACCGGACAAACATCCAATATCTTCGCACCATCACCACGGAGTTCATTGCTCCCACCTTCTCCTTCTTTTTGGTCAGTCTCCTCGCCAGAAATTTGCACTGCTCCTTCCAGCGCCGTCTCCTGTCCAGCCACTTCTTGCCCAGGAAGAACTTGAGCGCTTTCAGATACATTCACCTGTCCAGCAACACCTTGCCCAGGTAAACCTCATCCGTGGAGCCCACCGCCAGCGAACCAACTATAACTGAGCCATCCCTTGCTCTTTTTTGAGACTGTTCAGTTCGACGAGAAGGTTGTGGTAGCGAAAAAACTTGTGAAGTCACTTCTTGGCGGGTCTCCCCCCGCGACGCTTTGTCGCGCCCTTCGCCAAGGTGAACCGATTTTTTCTGCCCGTCATTGGGGCCTGAAGAACCACCCAGCGGAACATTGCCACGAATCGCAGTTCTCTGTAAATCCCTTTCTCGCAAAAAGATTTCCCTCATGCGTTGCGCGGCATTGGTCTCCTCCTCGCTTGAATCGCTTGAGGAAGCGGCATAAGAGAGCAAAGCCTCCGCCTGTTCATCATCATCCACCACATCTGCCCACGCTCTGCTGAACCGATACGACAACCCACCACGAGGCTTCAGTTCCAGTGGCTTTGGCTTTTCCACCACTTCCGCCGGTTGCACTCGTCGTTGTGAACGAGAGCGTGGCACCTGTCGCACCTGTTTTTTATCCAGCAAGGGCCTTCCCCTTCTTACAGGGTTTGATCTTGACCGATACTTTTTTGTTGGCGGGTTCACCGGCGGCATTCCAACTCCCACCAACTGCAGCTTCTGTACGCACAGCGGAGACCTCTGCGCAAGCGTCCAAGCGTCACGGTACCTGACCTTATCAAAAAGCTCCCGATAGGAGCCTCTCGGCATTACTTTTGCACCGGAGCCTTCAGCTTCACGCACCTGAGTGAGGATTCGCACCGCCTCTCTTCCAGTTCCCTTGCTCCCAGAAGATTGTTGTACCCGTACAGATGCATCGGA